AAAATCTACAGGCCTATCTGTAGATGTGCACACACAAGATTTTTTCGATGTCTTGTCTAATGCACACAAAAAAGTAGGGCTGCACACGCAATTTTCTGGGTAAATTTTGAAATCCAGTTAACAGCTGTTTTCATTTTCAGTATTTCAATTTGTTTGCAAGTTTATTGACCTGAACCTAATCAGTGCGATGCCCATTGTGAAGTTTACTGATTATTGAGATTGATGATGAATAAGGATTTTAAGTTGATATCATCATATCATATTATATCATATCATATCAAAGTACTGGTTTGTAGGTTAAGAGATCATTAATCTAAATAAATAAACACTGTCTGAACAAACACTTTCTGTCTCCACAATAATTGTCCAGTTTATGTTTGAATAAGTTCAATGATTTGGCATCTACTACATCCCTTGGAAGACGGTTAACCCTGACACTGTAGGCGCGCTTCCTACACTGGTTTATACGATAACTTCAACTTGTATTGGTCAGCATCAGAATCATCTGATTGTCACAAGTTGAAAAAATTGCTGTCAAAAAATGTTGTTTTTCTAAAGCAGCAATCTGCTTTTCGTAAAGAAAAAGAATACCAAAAATTAGAAAGCATTTACCATTTGCTTATGTGTATTTGTGAGCAGATTGAGTGTCTTCTAGATGCCCTTTCCTTCTATTTTGAAAAGCTTTGACATCGAAATGAATTGAATCGAAATAGAATATAAGACATAGGTTTTAAGAGATTGCTCAGAAATCTTAAAGCTATGTACAGTTAGATAAAGAGGGGTCTGGGGAAATCCCCAGGAAACTTTTTAAGGGCCACACCCAATAGATTCTGCATCTCATATCCCAGCATTTGATTTGATATTTTGAAATGACCTATACCTGCCTAGAAAGTAAAAGCTAATTAGCACATCCAATTATCTGGGAAACTACAGTCTAAGTCTATTCCCAATGTCCTAAGCCAAAGGGGCATAAAAGTCTACAATATCTGACTTATGCTCAAGCACCAGTTAAAATCTGTTTGTAAAAATCTAGATTTTCAATCCAGGCCAGCAAACAGATTTGATGCTTCCTGCTTGAATATTTAAACACACTTGAAACTGTCGATATTGCAAGTTTTCCAAACTTAAATTTAGAATATAATTAATTTCCTTGGGTGGTTCTGCGTTTATGAAATACTTTTGCAGTTATAAGAATCCACAATTATAGTGTCAAGAATTTACTCTGAAGAGCCCATTCTAAGGAATGAATTGTATTAAAATCAACTGACTGAATGCAGTTTTAAATCCACATTTCAATCCCACACCCTGTTTCCACCCACCTAGAAGTTTTACAGAGTACAAGGTTTCGAAACAATAGAAATTTTAATCTTACAAAATATATGATCGACCTTGTGCTAAATTAAAATCTGAAGTCAGAATAATGTGGAATGGTCAAAAGCACTTTTGCAGAAATAATTGCTGCACACATTGTGTGACGAATTGACAAATTCTTAGGCTGCATGGGCAGGCCATTAGAAGCATGCTGCACACATTGCACCAAAACTGAACAGTGTGCACACATTGAACATTTTGTATGCATTCTTGCACACATGCACACATGGACACATTTCTATTTCCTCTTGCACACACAAGGTCTGGTCATGAACTGCCACACTCTGCAGACTGGTCCTACAGACTGAATCATGACATCAGACCCTCATAATATAAGAACTCGTCCAGCCTTAAAATCTGAAATAGGTTTTTATTTGTAAAGATCACCAAATTAAATAAAACTCTAGAACATTGGAAAAATTAAAACAGATAAAAATTACCCTCTTACTCAACTTTGTAAATACCTTTGTATGTAGTAAGGATTCCACTAATAATTTTGTATTCAACTGAAATTTTAATAACTTTAGACAATGAAAGACAATGACAATGAAAATGCTTTTGGTCTGAATTGAACATCTTACTTCTTCAATTAAAGAAGTTTATGGCATGTTCAAAGAGGAAAACAGCTCTGTGAAAAGAGCAAAGCAAGTTTGTGGAACTGTGGCCGAAACATGTGCAGCTTAGCAGCAAATTGCCAAATAATGTTTACCTATGCAAATATGATGAAAATTTGCCATAAAATGCCATGAATGCCAATTCTTCGCCGTAAATGCTCTCAAAAGGCAAATCCATCATTTCCTTCCTATGATCACAACTTTTCAGGAACAGTTGTCTGTGTTCCTATCACCAAAGATTAATTGTTGGTTCAACTTTTGCCCTATCTGCAAAGATGCAAAGCAATTTTCTCAGGATGTATAGTCATTAATGAATCCTTGCCTTTCACTTGGTATGTCTGTAAAAAAGATAAGAACTACTGGCAAACTCTGCAAAGTGTCAAGGATGGCAACAAATGGTTGCATGCATACATTGCAGCAATGTTACCAAAGCTTTTGACAGCATTGCATGATCAAGGACAATCGAGCAGAGAGCTTTATGCATAAAGATAAAAGTTTGATGTGCAGAATCTTATCTAAAGCTAGCAATGCTGCAAGTTGACTTTTCAGAAAACTACACATGTACATATCAAGATGAAATATAGAGTGTCCATTGGCAGCAAAACGAAGTCACTCAATATACTGCAGCTCTTTGATTTGTTGGTAAGGTTTATCATGTAGTACTTGCCTCAGATGACCCAACACATGGCAAAAAATTTTTCTGGCCAATTAATATCTTATTACTCAAAGTCAATTTCAAATTTGAAGAAAAGCTGCAAGAATGTATCTGTGGCTAGAATTCCATGTCTTTTCTAGGAACATCATAAGAAATTAGGTCAGTGCCAACAAGATCCATATAGGTGATGACTATTAATTCCTTGACTGATACTTATTTCTGCCTTCTTAGTGTCACATGCAAACAAAAATATGATTTAGAACTAGTTTAAGAACAAATGTGGTTTGCTTTGTTTGTAACATCACTTACATGCACTAAAAATGTACTGCACTAAAACGTAAAAATGTAATGACGAAAAAAAGTTTGTGAAACCATGCATCAATTTAAGAACCAATTTAAGGGCATAAACATCCTCATTCTCTATGAAATATTCAATATAATAATCAGCGTACTCTAGGTTTTATAAATATGTGTTTACTGTATAAAAATTGGTTTGCATCTTCATGATTTGTCTTACTTGCCTAAGGATCATTGAGATAATTTTTGCATTTACGTGAATGTGAATCTAGTAGTATGATAGAGTGGAAAGTTTGTTCTCTCAACCCATTGTACACAGTTTATATGCAATGATTTACATTACAGGTGATTTTGTGAGGAGTAATTCCCTCCTTTCTCTCTTGGCTGTGCAATTGTGAATGGATAGCAAGAAAGAACTTTGTAGTAAAGTTATACTTTGGACTGAAGACTTGAATCACTGTTGAGCAAGATCTACTTGTAAGTAAGTAGAGATATAAGAAAACATGCAGTTTTGGATATCTTAGTTTTCTTGGTGCTGAAATTTGGAATGACTTACCAACATGGAAGGAAAAAATTTAATGCTCTATAAATCAGCCTTCTAAGCAAAGTTGACAATTCATAGATATGGAGGAAGTCCAAGCCAAAGTAGTTTGCTTGTTAAAGACCTCCCTCTTTAAGAATTCCCTTCATTCAGATAATGCTTGCTTTAAATTTATTTCTCCACGTTTTCAAATTGTACATATCTAAAGATTGTTTGTATACACATGAACATATATATGAAACATATGAACAAAAGTAAACTGATTTGAGTCGACCATGTCGTGTGTATTCTGGCTGGAGAAATATAATCTCTGGTGTTCGTGGTGGTTTTTAAAAAAACCGTTTTTTCAAAGAATTCATCGACAAGATGAAATTTGCTTGTTGAATTAAGCTCTCTCCCCTCGAATCCTTCTGGCCAGTTGTATGTCCTTTGGCATAATGGTAACACGTTTGGCATGAATGGCGCACAAGTTGGTGTCTTCAAACAGTCCAACTAGATAAGCTTCTGATGCCTCTTGAAGGGCCATCACTGCCGAGCTCTGAAAGCGCAGGTCTGTCTTGAAGTCTTGGGCTATTTCTCGGACGAGCCTTTGGAAGGGCAGTTTCCTGATCAACAACTCGGTCGACTTCTGGTATCTACGAATCTCTCTCAGAGCAACTGTGCCGGGCCTATATCTGTGAGGTTTCTTTACTCCTCCAGTTGCTGGGGCACTCTTTCGTGCAGCCTTGGTTGCCAATTGTTTGCGAGGAGCTTTTCCTCCAGTTGATTTTCTTGCAGTCTGCTTTGTACGAGCCATTTTAATACCTCAACGAAGAAATTTACGTGGTGACTGAGCGGTAGGCACAACAGATATCAATCTGCAAAATGGCGCCATTCGACTTCAATTTGAAATCATTCAGCAAGCCACGTGACATGCCGGGAGAACAGAAGCCAGATGACAAAAACAAGAAGCCCATTGGCTGCTTGTTCCCTAAACTTTCGAGCTGCCAGTAGTCTTGTTCTGAACAACATTCTTACGATCTGATTTAAAGTTGGGGGAAACAGAAATCGCGACATTTTTAGAGGATTGAACAATTTTAAATTACTCTCTTTTAATTTTGAGTATTTTTTGGCTCGGTTATTGGCAATAATAGCAACCTTTTACGTAAATGATGTTTGCGAACAATCTTTTTGTGGAACAAAATTCAAAAATGGCCTTGAAAAGAGCAAAAAGTTTAAACATTCTCAAGTATTTCGTCTGACATTCTTGTCAGACTAAAACGTGAGTATAAAAAGTCATCAGAAAATGGATATGTAGAACAAAGCGTCGGTAGAGTTTTAAGAGTTTTCGTACACTTTGCTTGAGTAGAGTTATAAAAGGCGCCAACCAAGCAACCAACATGGCAGGGCAGGATAAAGAAAGTGCTCCTAATACGTTCGCCTTTTCTACTGAATCTAAACCCTGCAGTTCACAGTTCGGGCAGTTCACTTCACTTGCTTAGCGTATTGTAGTTTGCACTTACATTGCTAATTTTCATCAATCATGTCTGGAAGAGGAAAAGGAGGAAAGGGTCTTGGCAAAGGAGGTGCCAAGCGTCATCGAAAGATTCTTCGTGACAACATCCAAGGCATCACCAAGCCAGCCATTCGCCGATTGGCTCGTCGTGGAGGAGTAAAGAGAATCTCTGGTCTCATTTACGAAGAGACACGAGGTGTTCTCAAGGTTTTCCTCGAGAACGTCATTCGTGATGCAGTCACGTACACAGAACATGCCAAGCGAAAGACTGTCACCGCCATGGATGTCGTCTACGCTTTGAAGAGACAAGGCCGAACATTGTACGGATTTGGCGGTTAAGTTGCGTCGTCCTGTTTACTGGACGAACGACTGGAGTGGCTCGCCTTCTTCAACAACACAAACAGCTTTTTTAAAAGCTACCATAAATGCCAATGTTACCCAATGTTTTAAACCTTGTGACAACACACGATTAACACGATCATAGGGGGTCTTAATTGAAACTTTTCTTAGCTCATTTTAACTCAACCGTTTTGAAATCAAGACCCTTTAATACCATTCACGAAAGAACATGCAGTTAATATCTATCTATATATCCCGGTTGAGGAAGTACATGTCCAATTTTTTGAACACAAAGATAGGTCAGTTAATTCGTAGGCAGACAGCAAGAATTCGAAATGTCAACTTTGTTTAGAAGACTGAATGATAGATAGTATAAGAATGCAAAGGCGTTATAAAGATATTGTAATTCCTTCCAGAGATGCTTTTTCAAAACGAAACTGAAACTATATAGCTTTACTGTATTTCTGTACTCCCTAGGATAAACAAATAGCACTTGCACACGGGAAAGTATAAAGAAAAAGAAAGACCATCTGATCACCAACTTGAAATAGCCAAATAGTAAACCATAGTTATTTCATTTTAAAGCAAAGTTAGTTATTTGCTGTTGAATGTTGTTTCTCATTCTCTTGATGCATGTATTCCTTATTAGGCCGCATATCATTATTTCAGGCTATGAAAGTAGTCTCAATGGTGCACAGCCCTCGAGAAGCAGCATGAAAACATCGAATGTCATGTCAGCCAAACACTAGCTACTCCCAATCGAATGTAGCCTACAATCCTAATTATCAGATATTAGATATGTGAAAATCGATTGCCATTTGACATAAAATGTAACTAGATGGATATATGTGTACATCGATAGCCTTTACAAAGAATGTGCCTTTCGTGTGTGTGACAAGCAGGTACACCAAATCAGTTTTCGTGGTGGTTTTTAAAAAAACCGTTTTTTATGAACAAGTGGGCCGGGCCAACAAGTGAGTCCAAACTTTATGATTTTGGAGCTTTCTGCTCGGTCTTCTTTGGTAAGAGTACTGCCTGAATGTTGGGCAGGACACCACCTTGTGCAATGGTCACTCCACTCAGCAATTTGTTCAGCTCCTCGTCGTTTCTGATTGCAAGCTGCAAGTGTCGAGGGATGATTCTTGACTTCTTGTTGTCCCTGGCGGCATTGCCAGCCAACTCCAAGATTTCTGCCGAGAGATACTCGAGTACGGCCGCCAAATAGACGGGAGCCCCCGATCCAACTCGTTCAGCATAGTTTCCCTTTCTCAACAATCGGTGGATACGTCCGACTGGGAACTGAAGACCAGCTCTGGATGTCCTAGACCTTGCCTTGGCCTTAGCTTTTCCTCCTTTTCCGCGTCCAGACATGTTTCTACACTGGCAGTTTCAAATTGAAAAACAAAATGGTCCCTTGCTGTAAGATAAACGAATTTGTTCGCAACTGCCTGCTTGCCCGCCAAAGTGGTCGATTTGTAAAGGGCATTTACTCGAGATCTACCAATCAACACCCCCGCTATCGACCGCGAACAATAAGCGAACACGAGACAGCGAATCGACGTGTGTCACATGGCCTTCGAGCTAATCACTCAGCTGCCAACAAATATACTAAAAGCTTGCGTTGGCGCCAAAAGACCAGATCAGTGTTGCTCTGTCTATCGAAAGTTCTCGCAAGTCGAAATTGAATTTTCTTCATTTCAAGATTTCAAGATGTCTGACGCCCCAACAAAAGGAGGAAAACAGGCCCCAAAGGTTGCCAAGAAGGGGGAGAAGAAAGCAGGGGTTGGCAAGAAAGGAGGCAAGGCTGCCTCTGGAGATAAGAAGAGGTCGAAAAAGCGCAAGGAGAGCTACTCGATTTACATCTACAAGGTACTTAAGCAAGTCCATCCCGATACCGGCGTTTCAAGCAAGGCCATGAGCATCATGAACTCGTTTGTCAACGACATCTTCGAAAGGATTGCTCAAGAAGCTTCGCGTCTCGCCCACTACAACAAGAAGGCAACGATCACTTCGAGGGAAATCCAGACTGCCGTCAGGCTTCTCCTTCCCGGTGAACTTGCCAAGCATGCTGTCAGTGAGGGCACCAAGGCCGTCACCAAGTACACAAGCAGCAAGTAAACTTGTCGTTTACACGAACGAGTTTTTCTCGTCGTCTACAATCCAAAACAGCTTTTTTAAAAGCTACCAAATTAACCAATCTCATTGCTATACCCACTAACACACACGATGTGGGGCCTATTTATTTTTCACGAGAGGGGAGGACAGAGGAGGGCGTTATGGCTGGCACTTACTACTTTCTTTGTGTGCCGTAAACTCTCGAATTGACACTTACGGTGGAAGCAAAATTGTGATAAGCCAAACACGTTAAAATGTTACAATACATGATTTGTCAACGTTTGACAGGCTATACACATTTGATGCAATATTGCCATACATATTCGATGGAAAATTAAAAAACCAAAAAGGCACGATAATTTGTACAGAACCCCCGACATTCCACTACGAGGAGGGTTCGTTGGACGTATATCGGCTTACAATGCTCTTAGAGATATGTGAAAAAGCCTATAAGAATGTTCTTAGTTCTAAATTTTATATAATTTTATATAGCCTTAATGTTCCTAACATTCCACAACATTAAGAAATAACCGTTTCCTTTAGTTTAATCATTGAGCAGGGTATCTGTTGAAAACCTTGAAGGCCATATAACTTAAAAAACGGAAATGTGTGTACATACGCAGCCTTTGACAACACTCAATTTTGAACCATACTTGTCTTGTATATTTAATTGTAAAGTACACTGTTCGTTGCCTGTATTTAGGATGAGCTCTCATGTTCTTGAAATCGAGAAGAGTAAATTGTAGAGTTGTATGTATAATATTTGATTGGATTGTAACTAGGCTATGATGATTTACGACAAAACTTTTTATATAAAATAAACATGATATTTCCAAATGTAAACTTTTTCAATGAAAACAACAAGTTTGTATGAATAATAACCCAATAAATTGCTTCTGAAAAAGAACAGCTCTTGTAACAACAATCCCTATGAATTTTAGCTCCTTACTTTTTCAACTTTATGCTTTACAAATATGTTATTGATAGTTTGAAAAAAGGAAACAAATTGCTATCGTTTTTTTTATGAATCTAAGTAGTATTGTTTGCCCATAGTTGGTTTTGTTATAGTTTTATTGAAGCCTTTTGTAATTAGAGCCTTATATAACATATGCTTAGTTGTATTGGGTTTAACTTTTGTTGGCCTTTTAAGCTAGCGGCCATCTAGGCCAAGAAACGTTGTTTGAGGAATGATATTATTTTCAAATAAATTAAAAAGATAAATAGCATTTGGATCTATTCAAGCAATTCAAGAAATAAATTACATTTTCAAAAGGATAATGATATTACTTCCAACTGACATCCACACAAAATTTCTAGGCACTCGCTGTATGATTGACATAACTGCAAATTGTGGAATGTTTTTAGTATTATTTCAACTTAAACCTTTTCCTACAAAAATGTTCCTAAATGTTGAAATTTACTAATGCTTGCCTGCCATTTAAATTTTGTCCTTATAAAGCAAATACGAGCAGTTCGAGCTATTTTGGTTTACATGCCTGTGTCAGCGGTGTCAGCATAGCTCAGCAATTTATCCCGTTGAAATACACACACCTTCATTATTGAATCTGGAATGAAAATTCAATTTCTGTAGTCAAAACATAGAAAAGATCAAAATATCGCCATCGGTAAAATTTTCTCTTAGTGCGCCAAGCTTTCGATTCTATTGTTTCTATATGATTTTGTAAAACCACTTAAAAAGGGGGTTTTACAAATGTGAGTTCGTAGGTCGTTCGCAGAAACGTACACGATAAATACGGCAAAAACTGTTATCCAATTCTCTATACACTTCTTCTAATTCATCAGTTTACGGCAAACGACTAAAAATATCTTAAATGGCTAACGGCGACAATGTAACGGCAAACACAATTCTGCAAGCTAGCGACAAGGTACACGGAGTTCGTCAATCTTACGGCAAGACTGAACCTAACTATAAAGCCACCCCTTATATACCTTAAGAATAATACAATTTACAGAAGCTGATGCAAATGCAGCGCAATGATGCAATTGTCATGTGATGTCCTGCAATGAATGGGAACCCTGTGTTCTAACATAGCCCCCTCCTTTGAAAACAAGCCTCCTGGCTTGTTCTTCTTGTGGCGTTTCTTCTTCGCATTTATACAACATGCCTTGAAACTCTTTCGTTTTTGGTAATGATAATAATGGCGATGCAGGAAAAATCCAATAAATGCGTTCAATGTTGCATGGAAACTTCTAAAAATAGCTAGTACATCAACTCTTACTTAATTTAGAACGTCATTAACAAAACATTGACTCATTCGCACTTGCACAAGAATTATAATCAATTGGTAGTTGATCAATCACCCTCTAAGCACAGCATCTTGATAAAATCAGAAGTATTCTATTCTAAGCAATCGAAAACACCATTCAAGACCTTTTCTTATTACGTATAATATAAAATGCATGGAAAAAAAACATTACTCATATTTTTATGGTGAAGTTCCGTTTCATCTTCTCGAAAAGAAAAGCCTTTTGGTGGGGACTTTTCTAATTAATTACTGAGTTCACTGCATAGAAATAAAAAAATCAAACATGAATTAGTGCATTCTTTTGCCATTTATCTTTGATCACATTCAATTCTGACAATGATTGCTTCTGTCATTCTGTGATAGTGTGCTTTTTTTGAAAAAGTTTTCTTGCCTTAAACTTGAAACAGGTTTGTTTTTCTTTTAAAATATTTCTAAACTTCCTTTCGTTTTGTCAACCCCTAACCCCGCCCAAGAACTGCTGCTTATGGGGGATAGGTTTTCGACTCTACCTTTATTGAGGGCCTCCACCGCTCATTGATGACACAAGAGTAGTTTTTTATTGCAATAAGTTTTTTAATAAATTGCCAGATAGATTATGTAATCAAATGTAAAGCCAATATTTTAGACCGAAGGGTAAAAAAGTTAGTATTCGAAACAGTTTGTTGGTAAAATTGTACTGTGTTTCTTAAAAATCAAATTTGGCCCATATTATGCGTTTTTTGTGGTCATCAAGAAAGGCTACTACATTTTTCTGATCCCATCAATGCATGTTCGTTTTAAACTTGCCTTTTCATGGTTAAGAACAGGTGGTGTGACGACTGCAAAAGCAAATAACCAAACAACGTTTGAAGGCAGGTTGAGCAATACCACTTGAAATTGAATATTTTGCTTCAATAATCACCAAAGTCGCATTGCAAAGGCTAACAATGCAACTATGTAACATGATACTGCTGACTTGAAAGCTTTTAAGATTGTATTTGCCACGGCTAAGGCTATATGGGCCAATTAATTTTAGCAAGAAGCACAAAAATGACTGCCATGATGGCCTAAACTTTTGAAGGTCACGTG